AGTTACCTGGCTAGACCCTCCACTATAAACAGGAAAGCAATAGCATCATTTGATGACCTATTTGTTTTGTACTTTAGTAGGTATCTGGATATAGATCATAGGAATCACTTGTGTCTGCTTTGTCCTCCGTTTTGCAGAAAATGTATTTCTGCTTCTTCAGGTCCTGAGAAAGTTCTCTCTCTCTCCTGCAAACATGGACTTGCAGAAAGCTCTGGTATTCCTGAACTATTTAATTGAAATTTCTTGTTGGACCTACTGACAACATTTTAGATTTTCTCTGACAAACTTTAAAGCCTTTTGAAGACCTAAAAATTAGCTCACAGTGGGAAATAAATCCATCAGCTCACATGGTAAGCATCTGCCAACTCTGTATTCACATTTTTCTGCAATGTTTTACTTAATCTTCTACTGATTGACTGATCATCACTGTGACTCCTTCCACCCTCCACACAGCAGTGTTCCATGCCCTCTATGAATGTTGTGGCAAACTAGACTTCTATTGTATGAAGTTGGGAAAATTAGCATCTCTTGCTAGACAATTTACTGCTGAGAGGTTAACAAGACAGCAAAACTTGCAGTATCTAGTAAAAGAAAAAAAAATGAACAGGGGATTCATCACTGAAATCAGCTTTCCAATATTTCTTGTACCTTTTAGGACTTTTTAGGTTTGAACTACGTCCACATCAATAAAACCAAAGTAATTATAGACATATGGCTACTTTTTAAAAGTTATGTTTGTTTTGCAAAACACGTAAGTAAAGAAAAATGTAACAAAAAAGAGGACATGTAATGAAATTGCATCCTTTGAGGTTGTGGCTCTGCAGATGCCTCCATGATGTACTGCCTCATACCAGTGAGAAGCTTCAGTTCCCTGACTTGCCCAGCATCTGCAGGTCTGATTAAGCACAGGACCTCTGTGGGATTTCAGCCCAGCTGTGGTGCTGTGGCTGCTGGGGTACAGCACTAAGGGCCTTGGGCACTCAGAGCTATGCACCCACCCATGCACCCACAGTGCCCAGGCACAGACAGCTCTGTGTGGTCAGCCACGGTGCTTCAGCAGGCTGCTGCCTGCAGAATGGAGTGATGTGAGTTCCTGGTCCCATCCACCTAAAAATCAATTGAAACTTTTCTTCCCTATGTTGAAAGATCTGCATGGAGCAACCTCTCCAGGCCAGGAGTGGGTGGGGCCCGGAGCTGGGTGCCCTGCACACAGCAGGGAGGCAGAAATTCTTTTACAATTTGCTGTTCTCCCTTGCCACAAACGCATAAAAGAAACACAGATGAAGCTACTACTTTGATCTTTCTCATTCTTTTTTCTCCATGTTGAGGAGTTAATGTATGACTTTAACAAATAAGAAGAAGGAAAAAAAAGAAATGCCAATTTATGGCTTCTGTACCCATGAAAACCTATTAAATCAAGACAATCTAGAGCAATGTTTTCCTAAAAACCATGTTAATTTCTCTCTCTGTGACACATTTACTATTTTTGTCATCACACATGGTGTCAAATTGCATCTCAATAACCATTTCAGCCAGCTGAACTATAATTGCAATGTACTTTTTAAGACTGTATGTAAAGCTACATAGAGATGCCTATGTATTCTTGTGGCTGTGGTCAAGAATGTGGCAATCTATTGTTCTAGGTGTTTAAAAAAAAAACAAAAACCAAAAGTTATTAAAAGCAGTGAAAGAAGTAGAAAGAAAGAAATGGATCAGCTGAATGCCCATGTGAGACAGTTTGAAATGCTTGAGGAAAATGTGTTCCAATGGGATATATTGATTCTGTGATCATTTTTGTTGGAGTTAGTTTCTAAAACATTATATTTACCATAGATATCTGTGCCCTATATATGTTATGAGCCTTGGGAGAACAGGATGATAATGCTTGTACTGAGTGACATTCCTCAGAACACAGAAGATGATAAATTCCTGGTTGTCCAAGAAGCATACTGGAGTATTCTTGCTATCTTAGGCAGCGCTCTTGTTTTCACTGCACATCTACAACTAGCTTTGTCAGGAGGTTGATGTGGCTGAACAGGGAGCTTGGTGGAGCTCCAGTATGAAAAGGTAGTATAGAGGAGATGGAAGCAGGGACAGGCTACAGTGGAATAATTCAGAAGAATTACCTGAGTTTGTAGGAGTACCCTTGGGTGATACAAAGCCTAAATGCAGCTAAGGCTTACATGGGAAGCACAACAAGACCTTCCAAGGCTTTGTTAGTACAAAAAGGCTGAGGAAGGAATACCTGGAACCATTGCTGAATGGAGGAAGTGATGTAGTGACAGCAGACACTGATAAAATGGAGGCATTCTAAGGTTTCTTTGCTATCTCTACCACCAAACTATCCCATGCATCTGTGCTTAGGAAAAGGGTCCAAAGAGAACTACCAGCAGTGGATGAGTGTTTAGCTGGGGGTTACTTGAAAGAGTTTGACCAGAAAACACCATGGGAGCAGACAGACCACATCCAAGTGCCAAAAAAACCAAGATTAAATATCTCTGCAGAGCCACTCTATCACATCAGAAGGGTTATGGAGATCATGGAAGGTTCCCTAATAACTGGTGATAGGTAAATGTTGCACCATTTCTTCAGGAAGGCCAAAGACAATCTGGGGAGCTCTAAAGTGACCAGCATTGCTTTGGTCCCTGTGAAACTTCAAGGACTGGATCTTCTTGGAGCACATTTCTGGGCATATGAAGGAGAAGGTGATCGAAAACAATCAGTCTCGATCTACCAAATGTAAATCATGTCAGACTTCCTGATTGTATTTATGATTCTATGATTGGGCTTGTGGATGAGGGGAGAGAAGTGGCTATCATCTAACTCAAATTTAGCAAGGTTTTTGACATTGTCTCCAACAACATTCTTGTACCCCAGTTGGATGCTATGGTTTGTATGGTAAAAAAAATTCATTAAATTGGCTCAGAGGAGAACGGTTAAATTTGTTGTTCTCTACCCAGACAACATTTTCCTGTTTACCTAGAGATCTGGAGACTGGAACAATCCTGTTTAGCTTCTTTACCAGGTGCTTCAAGGAGGTCATAAAATCCTCAGATTTGCAGATGATACCAAATTGGAAGGAACAGTGAATATGCTGTGGGCAGTGCTACATACAGAATAACCTAGGCAGGCTGGAGGAATGGGCCAAGAAGGACCTTCTGAAATTCAGCAAGAACAAATGCAAATTTCTTGTCACCTGGGAATGCTGAGCCCTTGCACCAATACATGCTGGGGGTGACTGGCTTTCCTGCAAGGGCTCTGGAGAGTCCTGGCAGACAGCACACAGTACCTGTGCATCAGGACTGTGCCCTGGCAGTAAAGAAGGTAATGGCATCCTGACTGTGCTGGAGAGAGCACAGCCAGGAGCTTGTGGGAAGGGGTTATGCTCCTGCTCAGCACCTGTCAGACCACATCTAGGCACTGTGTCCTTTTGGGCCCCTCCAGGAAATGCAGTGAGGAATTGGAGCCAGGTTTAGCTGAGACTCCCCAGAATGGCTGCAGTCAGAGGCACATGTGGAGGAGATAAAGGAACTGGATTTATGCAGCCTGGAGAGGAGGTGGCTTCAGGTGAACCTGACAGCAGCCTGCCAGCACCTGTGAGAGTGTATTCGAGAAGACAAAGCCAGGCTCTTCTCAGTGGTAAGTTAATTGGTGGGAGGACAATAAACAGCAAGCATAAATTGAAACAAGAACATTTGGCCTGGGAATAATGGAAAGAAAAACATGTGAAAAAGTAATACTGGTGTTGGGTAAAATGGTATAGGTGTCACACATTTACAGACCATAAATCATGAATAGTCAGGCCCCATTTCCTATGTTCCTGGCTCCATCCACCTCATATATAAAAGATACTTTACCCACCACAGTGAATTTCCATTGGCTAGCAGTGGAAACCTTTGATGTAGCCCAAATTCTTAATTAGAGCGAGCATATTTTTTTCTGCAAAACATAGCTCTAATATTTCAGTTAGTTCAGGCTCAAGCCTGTGTCCACAAGGCATGGGGCAGGCACTGCCTGCCAGGTTTCCTCTGTGGTATGGGCTTTCTTATTTGGCCTGGCCTACAAGTTCAGCTTCTTGGCAGAATTTATCAACTGGGACTAGTGCTGCAGGAATGGGCTGCACAAGCACCTGCTCACACTTATGCCTGACTGGCTTGAACATTGGACATCTGCTGTGCTCCTCTGCTGTCCCTCTTCTCTTGTTGGCAAAGGAACCGCCATCCCAAGGCTGCTTGTTTCAGCTGGCATAGCTCTGCCCAATGTTCCAATAATACAAAGTGGGTAAAAGGGTTGGTTTTGTTTATTTTTTTTTCTATTTAAGAAAGGATGATAATGGTGTAGTGGTAGAGGATGAGGATGGAAGAACTAGGCAGTCCCAGCCTTTCCATTATAGAAATCCAGCACAAGTTCCTCGCTCACTTCATCACTCAGCCATGGAGCCAGAGGCTCTGATTGTCATTCCTTCCTGTACATAGAACATGGTCCAGGATTACTCATAACTTATAGTCACCTAAAAACCCCCTAAAGTTTCAATTTAGACAAGTATTTACTGATTTTGAATGACTTGGAGAGCAGCTGGTCTAGTCTAAGGCAGAACTTGATCCTGAAGCAAAGCATTGCTCCACTTTCTCCCAGCTCTGTGTTTTCTCCTAAAGAACAGGAAAATGATCTATCTCTGATGGATGTAGCATTAAGGACATTTTGTCAGCCAGTGGTCTCAGTATGGCCACACAATTTCAGAATATGGACCTCCAGTCTGGTAAGCATGTTTTTGTGGCTTCTTGGGTCAGAAGTGAAGATGAAGTGTGGAGAAGTGATTGTGCCTACACACAGGGAAATTACTATGCCACTTCTGCATGACTGGTAGGAACTGACTTGCTGTGAATGAGGCCAGCAGCCTTGGACTTGAACTTCTAAAAGGCATTTTTCCTCAAGAAGCTTTTTCTTGAATTAATCATTAATTATTTATCATTACCCATTAATGCTTCTAAAAACAAAGCGTTTATCTTAATGAGTTTATTACAGTAGATCCTAAAAATGTAATTCTGCCTAGTCTTGAGGAATATCAATTCCCAGAGAGGGAACAATTCAGGCTGAGTTACATCATGCAAAGTGAACTTGTTTGCCCAAATAGTCTCATAGCATAGAAGGGGAGCAATGAAAAGAAATGTGGTCCCACCTCTTTATTCACAGGTTTGAATAGTTTCCTGGAGGGAGTGTAGCAACGCAGATAATTTACTGCTGGTAGCACCAGGAGGTTTTCTGGAGGAACAAGTGTCAGAGAAACCAGATTACAAGAGTGGTTCTGAGTCACAGAGTCACCTGGGATGCTCCTGTGTTGGTCAATGCTCAGAGGTGAACTTAGAGTCAAACAACCAGGCAAACGTTTGGAGAATTTTCCCGTTCAGGGTGAGGTTGAGAACATATGATTGTTTGGTTGCCTTTGAAGTGCTGTACTCAGCAGGAGCAGGGAGACTCAGAGCTGACCCTCTGCATTACCAGCTGATGGCATGTCCAGCTCTTTGTATACCCAGAGGAGGGCTGTGTGCCCCTGGTGCTCAGTGACCCGCAGGGAATGTTGCTGTGTGGTGCCAACCATCTAGCATTCTCCTTAGCTTCCAGATAGCTTTCCTTAATTTTTAGTGTCAAGTGGGAAGGAAAACCTACAGACTTCCATTGTGATAATCCTGAGGTTTCTCTTTGCATCTCCTGCTCTGAGGAAAGGCAAACCATGACTAAGCACTTGATGTGTCTGAAGGATAAAAGCTCTGTCAGTATTCTGAAATATAGAAAAATGTGATTCTTGTGGGCATTGTGACATGGAGATCTAAGTAGCCAGGCAGTGACAGCAGAGCCTTTATGTTCAGTGCTCATCATTTTTAGTGAGTCCCACTGAACTGCATGACTAAACTGTTCAACCACACCTGAATCTGGGTTCTTGGGGGATGAAACCTGTTCTATAGCTTCTTCCTGTGTTACAAAGGCTTGGGTGATTTTAACTTAAACATCAAACGTCACTGGCTTCTGCGTTAGGCAGTTAATAAATTCCTAGAATCACTTGTTAAACCAGCAGGGCACATGGTATAGCTTATATGACATGTGCCTGTTCACAGCCTATAGGAATGGTGTTGTTTCCTTTACACTGTTCTCTTTGTGCTAGACTTCTGTATGCTTATCACAGATTTTGGGGAATTCAGACACTAGAACTACTCCATCTGTTTTTAGGTTCCCTGCAAACTGTGTAGGCTTGCATGCCTATGTACAATTAATTCCTCACATTTCAGGCCAGCCTGATGGATGATAGAGTTGAAAAGAGAGATAAGCAAGATCTCTTCTGAGTAGAATCATAGAATGGTTTGGGTTGGAAGGAACCTTAAAGATCATCTAGTTCAAGCCCCCATACTGTGGGCAGGGCCTCTTTCCCCTAGACCAGATTGCTCTGTGCTCCATCCAGGCTGGCCTTGAACAATTCCAGGGATGGGGCATTCCCAATTTCTCTGGGGTCACAATCCTCACACTATGGAATTTCTTTCTATTATCTAACGTAAGTCTATTCTCTTTTAGTTAGACTAATCCCCCCTTGTCCTCTCACAAGTCCTTGTAAAAACTCTCCACCTTTCTTGTAGGCTCCCTTCAGGTACTGGAATGCTGCAATTAGGTCACCCCAAAGCCTTGTTTTTTTTCCAGGCTGAACAAAACCAAATCTCTCAGCCTTTCCTCATAGGAGAGATGCTTCATCCTGTTAATCATCTTGATGGCCTCCTCTTGACTTGCTCCAACAGGTCCATAGCCTTTCTGTGCTGGGGACCCCAGAGCTGACACAACACTGCAGGTGGGGCCTCACCAGAGCAAAGCAGAGGGACAGAATCACAGGGCTTTGGATGCAGCCAGGACCTGTTTGGCTTTGTGGCCTGTGAGTGCACATTGCTGGCTCATGTCCAGCCTCACATCCAGCAGCACCCCAAGTCCTGCTGGGCAGGGCTGCCCTTGATCAGTTCATCCCTTACCTGGACTGATTCCAGGGGTTGCCCCTACTCAAGTGCAGCACATTGCACTTGGTCTTGTTAAACCTCATAATGATCCCATGGACCACTTCCTTCATGGCATTCAGATCCCTCTGAATGGCATCCCATCCTTCAGGTGTGTCAACTGCACCACCCAGCTTGGTGCTATCTGCATATGTGCTGAGGGTGCACTTCATGCCTTTGTCTGTGCCATTAATGAAGATATTAAATAGTGCTGGTCCCACTACAGATCCCTGAGGGACATCCCTTGTCACTGATGTCCATTGGGACTCTGAGTCATTGACCAACACCCTCTGGATGCAGCCATCTAACCAATTTATCCACCTTATAGTCCACCCATTGAATCCACTTCTCCAGTTTAAAGAGAATGTTATTGAAGGGGACCATGTCAAAGGCTTTACAGAAGACCAGATAAATGCTTATCAGGCAATATAATTGCACAGCCAAATTAAGGAGAGTATAACAACTTCTAAGTTTGAAGTTGGTCCTACTTTGCATGCAAGATTTACCCAAATGACCTCCAGAGATGCCTTCCACCTCAAATTATGATTCTAACAAAAGAAGGATTTTTTTCAAGAGGTACTTAAAATCTTTACTTTGAGCTCTGAAGTAATAAGGGAAATTACTGGGACTCCCTGTGCAAGTCAGAGATTAATGAAGGTCATGCTCTTTCCATCTGTGGACTTCGCAAACCTCATCAGTACTTCAAATACCAATGATCTTACTATTTCTGGAACTGGTGAAATTATATTCACTTCTTCAGGCTCTAAATTTACCCCTAAATTACACATAGAAATGCCAACCCTAAAATGCATGTAGAAATGAAATGAAAATTCACAGCTGGCTGGATGCCCCCTGCAGACCTATGCTGACTTTACAGTCACTGATGACCACACAGCAGTTACTCTTGCTCAGCCCAGTGATGTGAAGGCTGGATTGAGTCCCTGGTTTCCTATCCCTGATTTACTCTCCCTATTGTAAATGAATGAAGATGGGTTATTTTATGTACAGCAGGTGCCAGGTACATTCTCTGGCACTTTTATTTCCTCTTCTTGAGGAATTCACAGACAAAGTAGATGGTGACTTGGCACTCAGAGTCATTCCATTCTCCTGTGCTGAGCATTTCCACACAGTCCTCGTGACCAGCTGGGTCATGAGGCTCGCCTTGCTTCCAGTTGCTGTAGTTCTGCAGTGGGCTGTTGTCTGCATACACAAACTGTCCTTCTCTTTCCATGTCATTCAGCCCAATGAAGGCTCGGAACAGGCCGCTGTTGGAGATGTAGTCAGCAAGCAAGGCGTTGGTTGCCTCATCTTTAGGCATGGCCAGTGATCCTCCTCTATCCCTGCAGTGGATCAAGGCTTCTTTGTAATTCTTCTCTTCTTTCACAATGTAATAGAATTTCTCATCTGTCTCTCTGATACCTGCTATAACTTTGAACAAGAAAAATTGCTTAATGGCATGTCAACAGATGCTGAAGGTTATTCTATTCCAATATGACAATAAGATGATTTTTACATTAGAATTAATAAAAGGGAAGGAGGAAAAGTATTCCCACCACTGTATTTATGATGAACGATGAGGACACAATCAGAGATTGATGTGACTAATGGGATTGTCAAGCTCTTAGCACACATTAGGACAAGAACTACTCAGTCCTGATTGGCATGTCTCCTGTGACACTTCAGTTTTATTTCCTGGATGTCTAGCCTAGGAATCAGCTTAAGGCATGCTAAATTGTCAAATGGCATTGTCTAATTCTGGATCGCCCTATTGCTTTGTATATTCTTGAATATAGATTGTGAAAGAGTGCCTAGGGGTAGAAACACAGTGGTATAAATAGCTTTTCAGGCCCTTTCCATGTAGAGGCAAATGAATGTGACTGCTAAGATAAGACATTTTAGATATGGCCTGATATTCAGAGCTGCTGTAGCACTGTGGCATTGACTCAGAAGAAAATTTTGGTTGCTCAGCAGCTTTAAAAGGCAGACTCTCAACCAGTGAGTTTATAGCCTAGTGAATTAAGCAGTGCCAAGGAGCATGCCTGGATTGCTGGAAATTAATTGTCTCTGCTAATGGATTGCAGGTGTGGTGCTGGAGTGGTCTTGAGCAGAGTTAGGCCTCGGAAAATGAACACTCTCCTAAATAATTCAGGAGTCACCCCACACTTCCATAGATCAGCAGTGGTTGAAGAATAGCAATGACACCTGTTATTGGAGTCAAGTAAATCCCCTCAAATATTTAAGGATCCTTACCATTCTTTAGAAACTTGATGGATGTGTTAAGACGAGCGACATTGATATTCAGCTGTCCGACAAATCTGCGGTATCTCCCACAGTCACAGACCGTGCCTGATGCAATACAGAGGATAGAGGATTTACCTATTTAGAAGCATTTGGGTGTGTGTGTGTGCATGGAGAGTCACCTCTAGACCACTTCCAAAGCTTCTGAAGATCTGGGCTCCACTTATGGAGGGCCAGTCTTGCCTTACCCCGCTGGCTACACTTCTGTTGATCAAAGTGTTTAATGTTTTGGCTCTGTACACTCTGTACACTCCCTTGCTAACTGGCTTAAACAAGTTAATACTGATCCAAAAATCAATAGCTTTCAAGCCCTGAAGTCTCAGTTAATATTTTTCTTTTTTTTTTTTTACCTGGAATTTGGCTTGCTAGAGGTTTTGTTTGTTCTTTTTGTTTTTCTCAGAAAGAAAATCAGTTGCTGATGGTTTCCCATTAAGCACCAAATGGTCATTTTATATGCAATCTCTTAAAAATAAACACTAGTATATGTTCAAGGTGGGTAGCCATTCAAGGTTACTAGGTTACTAGCGCATCAGAGTAAAATTCTCCTCCTGTAAGCAAATGCATTGCATTAATTTGATAACAGATTGTTTTTATTTATTTTTGAAAACATATTGTTTTTATCCAATATCACTTACTTTTTCTTCCCATGCTCCTATTAGGAAACTGTTGAAGGGCTTAATTCCTTTGATACTAAGAAACTTTCTTCTAGTATCCAGTTTAAATGCATACTGCTGGCCTGTGTGTTAGTTTTTATTATACCAAATATTACCCATGAATTTGGGTGACTTCATATTTTGTGCATGCTGGTATATTCATAGGAATCAGTCATGTCCCTACACTATCATTTATTTTCTTCAACAAAACATTTTCAGTCTCTTCCTTACACTTCATCTATTCTCCTTGGGCCTCAATTACATTTCATTTATTCTTCTTGGGCATTTCAATGTATTTTCCTTGGCCCTCATAATTTCATGGAATTTCTTACAAACCAACCCTGAAATCAAAGATCCAGCAGATTTGACCATTCTGCACAGATGGATGCATAGCATACCTGCTTTTCCTTTTTTTCCTGAAACCCCGGGTAAGCCTTTGGCTCCTTTGTCACCTGAATAAAGAGGAAAATATATTCTCAGACCTCAGAGAGTGCATATGTCAGGGAAGCATATTCAAAAACCCATTTAATAATATATTAACAGTGTGCTTTTGATAGGAAGCTCTGATGGACTGTACTGGAAGACATGCCAAGTTAAACAAACCACGATTAATTCTGGTGCATGGAAATGAGAGCCCTTTAATAGCTAACTCACTGATAACACAGGCATCTTGTGTGCTGCTGGCTCCTGGTACCACTTACTTTAAATATAAACTGCAAAATGATCCTGAGAGGCTGAAAGCACTTAAGAAATCTTGAAAAGGTGAGATCTGGGTTCTCTCAGGGGCTGCAGGACAGAGCCCTTCCCCAGGTTCAGCAGCTCCATGGTGAGAGGAGGCAGCAGATGTCCTCTAAACCACCGAGATCATGCATGCAACAGATTGAGTGTGGGGGCAGCAGCTGGCACCTGCATTAAGGAGCAGCATTTCAGTTCAGTTTATGGAAATGGGATTTATTTGCATCCAACTGCAAACTCTCCAACTCTCATCCAACTCTCTTTTGTAAATTATAAGAATGATAGAAATACTTCTCCAAATGCTCTGCTACTATTTAACTGGAGGTGACCTGTTCTTTAAAAAACCTCAGTTGGAATTTGGGTCAGGAACAGCTGGACTTTATCGGAAATTCATGTCAGCTCTTTTATGAATAAAACTTTCAGAGGTCAAAACATTCTAATACTTGCTCTGCCTTATTGATGACCATGTTTTTATGTACTTTTTACTTTATATGGTTGTGGCTTTTTAAAGAATTTAGATGTTGGCTGTCATTTTAATTAGCAGCACACCCACTGCACACTTGCAAGCTGGAATTTCAGGCTTGCTTCATTAAGAACTCCAATGTTTAGTCATAGATTCAAACAGTGACCTTTGCTTCCACAAATAAAAAAAATGAGAAAAAACTGTAAGGGGACAATAAATTGTGCATTCAGATTAAAAGAGAACTTGATTTAAAGGCTCAGAACATTGGTTTACTTTCAGATAACGAAAAGCAACTTGTGAGAGTCTTCATTTTTTGTCTCCTTTGGGGATTGAAGACATTTTAGGAGATAACTCTCTGAATTTTCAGTTTTCTAGGCACTTCTGAAAATTAATCCCTCAGGTCAAAATATTTTCTTCTTGCCTGATACTGAGGCTGGCTGGAGGCCATGAAAGGTTTATTAAAAACAGTGGTTTGAGAAGCTCTCCTGAGAGACTGTTCCATCCACTCAACAGTATATCCAAGTTGATGTGCTGGTTTGAGACCCCAGAGTTCTCCTGGCAATGGTGGTGTCCCTCATCAGCTTTCAAGGCAGGTCTCCTTGTGGCAGAAGCAATATTCCTTTTAAGTAGCTCTTTAGGAATATCAGAAAGGAATGTCTGAGCTTCTTCTCAAGATAAATAGAGCACAATTTCTATAAATGATTGTCCAGGCAGATTTGGAGTCTACCTTGATTTGCAAATAGTTGCCATCCCTGCTTATGTGAGCACCTTCTTAAAATTCCTGAATTGGCTCCTTACCAGGACCGAGATGTCCTGTGCATTGCTTGCTCACATGACCCACAGCAGCGCAGGTGTGCCATCCTCAGCAGCAGCAGGACATTGTCTTAGGCTTTCAGCATCCAAATCAAAGGCACATATTTGTCTCTTGGAGTGTTCAGAGCATTTACTTCACAGGTACTGAATTTCTCCCATCCTCTTTTACCACAGAATTGTAGAATAGTTTGGGGTGGAAGTGACCTTTAAAGGTCATCTAGTCCAACCCCCATGCAATGAGCAGAAACACCTTCAACTAGATCCATCAAAGAGGATTAATGTCTTAACTCATAAAAGAAATCATTTTAGCCAAATGAGTTGTATATATTGCGTGAAGAAATAAAACTAGGTTATTTCAGTTTGCTCTCATAACCAGTCTTTATTCATTACTTTATTTGGAGAGCATTGGTTGTACCATTATCTAATATTGGTCCATATCTGGAGCTCTCATAAAGCACATATTTACCTTGAGGGAAAAAACCCCAAGAAAATTCCCAGACCAGAGCTTACCCTTTCCACCAATTGGACCAATTTTACCAAGCATCCCCTGGTCACCAACATCACCCACCGGTCCTTTGTTTCCTAAGAGAAGAAATGAAGAGGAAATGAGTATGGATAGTTGCTGTAATTTCTTTTCTGAGGCACTGTTTAGGTCTCTACTGCTGCTGTTTTTCCCGAGTGTGGCCAGTTTGCCTGTGTGGCAAAGTGAAGTGAGCACAGCCCTGAGGATATTTTGGAGAGTACAGCCAGATGTCTGCTCCTCTAGGGTACGACAGTAGGACATGGCATAGAACCTTAATAAAACTGCCTGTTCAAACATCATATTGTCTTAGAGAAAATAGAAACTAAAACTGCTAGTGGTTTACTTCACAGCCTAACCAGGCTGACACCTTTTACTTTTCTCCACCCCAGGCAAAGAACTTTTCTAAGTCCTTGTGGCTTTCCTGGGAGTCCTTCTCAAAGCAGGCCTGCAAGTAGGGAGCTACTAATTTTGCTGTATGTTTTCCAGTTTTCAGAGCACCAAAATAACAGGTGTCTTTTTAATTGATTAATAAATACTGTAAGTTCTGAAATAGCTGTCAAATGATGACAGGCCAATCTAGGGAATCTCAGTTTGCAAAAGGACTTTAACATCAATAAGATGCTTTGTAAATGGTTGATTCCCTGAATTCCTTGTATCTTACCTGATGTTCATTTTAAGGTAAGAAGTGAAATCATAAGAATGCATTTAAAAATGGAAGAAGTTTTTTGTTATAACAATAATAACAGAGTGATTTTAAAGTTTCTATAAAAGTAAAAACTTTCCTGATTAGTCTTAAGCCACAGTCAAAGAAGGAAGATCTTGGATATGCATTGTCATTAAACTCTAAAGATAAATTAAGCTTTCAAATTAGAGTATGCAAACAAGGCTGACACAGTCACATCTGGTGCCTCTAAATGATGTGCCCAGGTCACACTGTGCGTGTGGAACATATTTACTTGAGCCAAGTCCTGGAACATCGGTAAGTCCTTGATCTCATCTTGGATGCTGTTTGATCAGAGGAACTTTTTATTTGTGTGTGTATGGCTTTGTTTGCTTTGTCTGCAGAATACAGACAACTGAAACCAAATTTTATTGAGCACCCTGACATATTGCTAGGCAATAATGGTCAAAATTCAATTTCAACTAAAGGCTAATTTCAGTAAGAGTAATCTTTCTGATTATGTATATGATATAGGTTTTCTGAATCACACTCATGACAGCCACATATATTTGTCTTAAGTATCAATAGGAATTGAACCAAGCTAAGTATTGTTATGTTTACCAATTAATGTTTGACAGGATTGTGAAATCCACTGGTGAAACAGAAATGAAAAGCATTAAACACCAATCATATGCATCAGTACAGTTGTGTATAATGATATTCATATGCCAGCAATAGACAACAAACCATCATAAATACCTTTTGGTCCTTTTGGTCCAACCTTTCCTTGTTTGCCTACTTCTCCTCTGTCTCCCTTTTCACCTTCATCCCCTTCCAAAAAACCAGAAAATAAAACATCATGGTACATTTCTCTCAGTGCAGTAAGTACAACTAAACACATTCAGAAAGAAAAGTTCATGGGGTTTTTTTCCGCTACTGATTTCTTTTTATTTCACATTGAAGGCACAGCAGCCATGGGATTAATTTTCAGAAAAGAGATGAGGAATCTGACCATCATTAGAAAAAGCAAAAAGCTTTCCCTTTCAGAGAGGCTGTTGCAACATGAAAATTATACAACAGCAATTCCTACTCCTACACTTTAAACATTATTAGTTATAAAGCAGATAAATAAACCAATCTTTTGGTATTGGGAAACTTGAGCACACGGGCAAACTGCCAAGGGAGGCAACAGGTGTTTATTAATTGTTCCTAGTGATTCCCTTCCTAGTGACTCCGTGTTCAGGGTATGCAGATGCATTTGGAATGAGAGGAATGTAAATATGTTGAAATAGATCTTGACATAGACCTTGGCACTTAATATGACACAATTCTTGCCTTCATTTTTTGACAGATGGCATTTGTATGTTGATACAAGAAACTTGTTTTGCAATTACTCCCATGCTTTGTTTTGAAAGGTCATGCAGAGAGTATCTGTAAAAGGCAAATTCATTGCATTTATTATGGTAGTGCAGAGATTTCTCTAAAAGAGATTGAGACCCTATTACACAGGTTCCTATTTGGTTCTGTATAAGCACTTTCACTGTTGGAAGACAGTCTCTCACTGTGCAGCGTATAGGGTAAAGGTGCAAGGCAGCAGTTAGTCAGAAAGAAATGTTATTTCCTTCCACAAGTAGCATGCAAGGTTGCTTTGCATGGAAGGCAGGAAGGCAGGAAAAAAAGACTAAAGATGATTTTGTCATCTCATTAGTTTGGAGCCAGATCATAAGAGGAAGGTTGTTTTATTTTTCTCCCCCCCAGCAGAGGTGGGGAGGAGACACACGACTTGCCTGCAGCAGAGGGCCCTCGCTGAACAGGGCAGCCTTCCAGAGCCTCTCCCATTGTTCCCTGCCCTCGTTGGCAATGAGCCTTGCTGTGCAGTGGGGAGCAGGGCCACAGCCTCTTGGCTCAGCCGGGATCTCACGTGGTAGTGGCAGCCAGTTGGTTGTTCAGTGTATGGAGAGCCAAGGGAGGGAAGTGTGCCTGGATGTCAGCCAGAGAGCTGAGGACAGAGCAGCAGTGTGTGACAAGAGCAATAACCTGTCTCACCAAGGGTGGTGCTTGGTGGTGCCACACTTGCAGCCCCAGCAGAAAGTGTGCAGGGCACTGAGGTGTGCTGGGGGTGACTATGGCCCAGGCAGCCACTTCCAGCCTCTCACAGCAATGGTCTCAGTGCTTACCTGAGCCAAGCACTGCCTCCCTATTGTATTTGCTGGGACCCTCGTGGCAGGGAGGAATGATGAATCTGACTCCATGTTCTCAGAATGCTAATTTATTATTTTATGATGCTATAATATATTAAAGAATGCTCTACTAAACTATAATAAAGAATACAAAAAGGATAATTACAGAAGGCTAAAAAGATAGTAATGAAAACTTGTGACTCTCTCCAGAGTCCCAACACAGCTTGGCACTGATTGGCCATTGAGTGAAAACACTCACACCAGAAATCCAATGAAACAATCACCTGTGGTAAGCAATCTCCAAACACATTCCACATGTGAGCACAACACAGGAGAAGCAAATGAGATAACGATTTGTTTTCCCTTTTCTCTGAGGCTTCTCCACTTCCCAGGAGAAAAATCCTGAGTGAAGGGATTTTCAGAAAATGTGAATGTGACACATCACCTCCCCTCATGAACAGCTACTAGTGATTCCTCCCTCCACCATTAACCTTGTGCCTTTTAAACCCATTTATACCTTTGGCCCTTATAATAAATACCCTGTGGCAAATAGCTCAATGATTTCTTTAGTGTGCTGGGGAGAAAGTACCTTCCCATGGTTGCTTTAAGACTGATCATTACGTTGGTCTCATTTTTTTTCTGAAAAATACTGCCCCACTCACTCCTGGCCTTCTACTTCTGTAGTCAGAGGTAGCATGTCATGGGCTGTTCTGTAGAGTGATAGCAGATGAGAAGTGCTGCACATTAATTGCAGCACATAAAATTTAGTTTTAGCTGTTTGGCACATTTCCATTCCAGTAACATGGACTGAGCTGAGCCTGTCCCTTTATGCTGAAAAAACCCTTCCATGCTGGGACTCTTGTGAAGGGCAGACTCACCCTGTTGGTCAGGATGCCCTTTGGGGGGAAGGTCAGTGGGCCAGGCTGACGAAGATAAAGGGCTGAACTTCAGTTCACATTGAAGGGAGGAAGCAGCTGCTGAAGAGATGGACAAGGAGGAAACAATGTGGTGTGTGCTGGTTTGCTCAGGCTCTTTTTTTTAACACCAGCTTCCACAGGTAAAGTTGGGCAAGTCTAAAAGCAGTCAGCAACATAAATTTTAAACATCTCTCTTTTCACTAAGTCTTAAAAATACTGTAAAAGCTACTGTATATTTCTAAAAGCCAAGCTCCTTAAATATTCAGCTGAAGCAGTGGGTCTGATGGAAGCTGGGAGCTGATGGAAGGGTGCCTGCTTTTACTGGGTTCCAGTCCTGCCCAGCAGGACTTGGGGGTGCTGCTGGATGGGAGGCTGGACATGAGCTGGCAATGTGCACTCACAGGCCAGAAAGTCAGACCTGTTCGGGACTCCATCAAAAGCAGATGGTCAAGGAGGTGATTCTGCCTCTTCACTCTGCTCTGGTGAGACCCCACCTGCAGTGCTGCATCCAGCTCTGGGGTCCTCGACAGAGGAAAGACATAGAGCAAGTTCAGAGGAGGACACCAAATTGGTAAGAGGGATGGAATACCTTTCCTATGAGGAAAAGCTGAGAGATTTGGTTTTGTTCAGCCTAGGAAAATAAAAGGCTTTGGGGTGACCTAACTGCAGCCTTCCAGCACCTGAAGGGAGCCTACAGGAAAGATGGAGAGAGACTTTTTACAAGGACATGTAGGGACAGGACAAGTGGGAATGTGTTTAACTGAAGGAGAATTGATTTATGTTAGATATGAGAAAGAAATTCCATAGTGTGAGGGTGGTGAGCCCAGAGAAGCTGTGGGGATGCCCCATCCCTGGAAGTGTTCAAGGCCAGGCAGAATGGGGCTCTGAGCAAGCAGGTCCAGTGGAAAGGTGTCTCTGTTCATGGCAGGGGGATTGGAACTAGATGATCTTTAAGGTTCTTTCCAACCCAGACCATTCTATGATTTTATGATTCTACTGTCCATCAAACAGCAGAGCTAGAGAATGCATGGTTTAATTTTGCTGCTGACTTCAATGCTAACAAGAGGAAATTGCTCTTTCCAAATCCATGCGTGAAACCCCTGTGAAAGTGCAAAAGTCACTTTTCAGTAGTTCAGAAATTCAGAAAAGTTCCCAGAGGCTGATAAAGGGCTTGTGAAAGGACAGTTTGGGAGCAGGTTAAGAGCTGACCTCATCATCATCTGCAAACCCACGTGGGGGAAATATGTGTGACAATAGAAAGGAGGCAGTGCATGATCCAAAGGCTGGAAAGGCTGGATGAATCTTGACTAGAAATGCAACATGGCAATATTTCACAAATGGATGGTGTTCTCTGACAAGGAAGGGAGAGGGGGGAGGCTTTTCATGTCCAGCCTTTCCCTGTGGAATGAATTCCTTTGTGTAAAAAAAGCTGTAATTCTGAGTCTGGTATAGAAGCTGCTGAGGGAGGTTCCTTGGCCTGTGGAAAACAAACTATGTTCCTGCTGACCTTCCAAACCAGGGCTTGTCATCCTCCTCACCTTTCTCAGACCAGCCAGTTACATTCTCTGCAGCCTGCTCTGCAGAGTTAAAGCTATGGAAGTACTGGTTCTTGCTGCAGATGGAAGATCTCTGTGCAAGATCCTCCCTTCCTCCCTCCATCTCTCTCTTTCTCATTTGTGAAACAGTTAATCCTGAAAATAGAGCCCAGGAAAGAAAGTCAATATACAAGTGGAGAAGCTGCAATTACTTTCTGAAGATGTTTTATTCCTGTCTCAGTTTCCGTATTTTGAACCACTGAAAGATCCCGTGACTTTTCCTGCTGGACTTTGGAACAAGATTTTCACACCTAGGGCTGCTGGAGTTGAAGCTACTTTGTCCTGTACGGACCATTGGCCTGAGAGCTGCCAGGTGAGAGGAGTGAAGGGTATGGCAAAGTTTGTTCTGGGGATTTCCAGAGGTCAGGCAGTGCCTCAACTTTTATTAACACCTCATGTGATCCAAATTTTTTCTTAAGACCTCTAAAAGCCTAAGGGAGAGGGAAATAAGTTCCATCATCTGTTTCATCTTGGAGTAAAGAAGCCTGACACACTCTGTCTTACTTTTCATATCCAGGAAAATGGGAAGAACAATAATTTGTCTGTCTATAGGAGAGGGTAATCCTGCTTTTCTCCCCATCTGTCATCTGAGAATAGGTAGGCCATTACAAAACAAGGGTAGAAAGAAACAGTATTAGTTAGTGATACCATTTTATTGTTAATTTAAGACTAGATTAAGCCCAGTGCCTGCTGACATGATATGTGCTGTGTCCTCCTTGAGCTGCTGTGTGCTGCGATCTCAAATTTTGGCACAAAACGTGAACTCCTGGGTTGTGCTTCCCTCTTGTGGTCTTGCTATGATTTGCAACCAAGTCGGGGAGACTGAGAGGTTGCTGACTACTTTTGGGCAGGGGCTGAGTTGGCTTTATTTCTAGTTTACTATAAGTATCCCTCCCTTTCCTCTGAGACTTCATGTGGACAAGCCATCCCACTGCATTAGCCACCTTTTTTTTTTTTTTGTTTTAGTCTTCCAGGGGAAAAAAAAAATCTGTCCTGCTAGTACTCTGGACTGGGTTTTTGAGTTCTGTAGTACTGTGCTTTGTGCAACACAAATTTTCTGATCCCTGACCTCAAATGCTTGTTATCTATACCTAGAGGTTAACCTCTTCTTCGTGCTGCCTTGCACTTGGGGCAGTGTC